GTTTAGACCACGGTTAGGATCCAGGGTCCAAAATTCCCAGCCTAGCTTCTTCCAGGGCTGCATGGGTCACTTCCCAGTTGTCCCATCACGGTGGGCTTGTCTAGGCCTCATAAGTTTGTAGTGGACCTTTAGGTAGAATTTAAGCATTGAGTTGAGGTGTTTGTTCAATGTCTGCTGTGGAGTTGGGTGTGGGAAGAGAAGTTGGGAGTGTGGACCATCTGTGTCCATTTCTACTCTGGTAAATGTCACAGCAGGTGTGGGCCCAGGGCTCATTTAGGAAAGGAAAAAATACTATTCCTTCCTTCCTGCTGAGTTGTCTCTTTCCCAACTTCTCCTTCTTCAAGGTGGGTTAAAAGACTTTTTGCAGAAAAACCACATCAACCAACAAATGAATGAAAAAGAGTACCTCACACTATACCTACATACAAATGGACTCAGTCCCAGGGACTGGGCATTCAGCAGGCCACCTGCCAACATGTCTTTGAAGGGATGCTATGAAGGGGAGTGGGGAGCGTTAGCCCCTGAGGATAAACAGGGACTGATAATCTGCCTCAGACTGGTAGGGACAGAGGCTATCTAAGAGAAAGGGAACCTTGTTGGCTCACTTGGCAACTGGCAGGTTGACGGCATCTCTCTCTGGGGTAAGGGGTTTCCTGCTATTGTTCCCTACAAAACCTCCTCTTCAAATGCAAACTGCTCTGGAGACCTAAAATGAGAAACAAATGCCGTGGAGTTATTCAGGCTAAAACATGCCTGCTCCCAAGGAACAAGTGGAAAACTTCTAGATCTAGGGAAATGCACTAGATGAGAGAACATTTGGGTGCACAGGTTGGGGTGCACAGGGCTGTTACAGGCCCTGGAACAGGAGCTCAGAGGCAAGAAAGGACAAAGGGAACCAGTGCTGGACACTGGATAGTCTCCCATTCTCTCCTGTTGTCATCACCTGTCCTGAAACAAGACAATGCAGGAAGCTCTGTAATATGCCAAGGTGGTTTCTACCAGTGAAACGGTAGGTGTGGTTATTTGTGGCTGGGTGTTCTAGCTTCATCTACTGTGTTTAGACACCTTGTGCTAGTTACAAAGCTGTCTTCTCTAAGCTCAGATCCACCTTTCTATACTCTCCTCTGCTACTGAGGCTGGGATGCTGCAAACCACAATTCTTTATGGCCACCTGACCTAAGATAGGCTCTGTCAATAAGGGGTGTAGAGTGGAATGCAAGGTGGGAGGAGGGACTTGAACTTCTATGTCCCTAATCCCTGTGAGCATCACCTCAGCAGCAACTTCACCATGCAGTGACAGTTCATCCCAATAGCAATGGAGTCCAGTTTCCAGTTTTTTCCCCCGATACTTCCAGCACCAACCTCTGGCATAATAGGCTGTCACTCCTTAGAGGTCTGGGTCCCAGATCTTCAGGGCCCCTCATCCACCCTCCAGAGTGGTTAGAACGCCAACCACTTCCCTTTGTTATCTGATTCCAGCAGTGGAGCTGCTTCCTGCAGTTATTGCCTCTGTGTTCATTTTTACATTCTCTTTTAAGCCTCTGATACCTGCTTCACATATTGCTTAGATTAAATTCCCTCTGTTGAAATAACTGGCATGACTCCTGTTCACCTGGGTGGTACACATCCCTCAGAGGTATTGCCTGGGAAGCAGGTGAGGGTGTGAACTTGCCTGGCTGGGTTGCTTCAGGGAGCCTCACCTCAGAAACCCTGCCAGCAGCTCCAGTAAGTCTGTCTCTATGGTAAAGGAACTCTTGTCATAGGAAAATTTTCCTAATCTAATGCAACGTTTATAAACAAACTCACTCCAGGAGGGAGTGTTTAATTTAAGAAAGCCAGTAGGGACCCTAAATCTTTTCATCCCAATCAAAGCTGTCAGAGCCAGTTAGCTCAGAGCTAGTCAGGTGGCCCCAAAGCTGCTGTCCACCCAGCACCCATCCTGTCACCAAGGAAACCGCACGTCAGAGCAGAAAGTGATAAACAGGGCCCCCAGGATCCAGCTTGAAACTCAGTTGTCTGACATGTTTATCGTTACCAACTCTGCCAAAGAGCAGCGTCTCTTGCAAGAATGATTCTCTGAAACTTCTCCTGCTCCACCCCCTGTCTTCTGTTTCCCAAATTGAGAATATGCCTACCTCTGAGAAAGACATGTGCTGGCAGGCTTGCCAGATGACAAAGAGAGTCACTTGCTTCCTCAACAAAACATAAAACAGACTTTCTGCTCTGTCAATGCCAGGACTAGTATTTCTGGGTGCTCCACTTACCTTTCCAGAGCCTAGTGATTCTGGTCATCTAGGTCCCTGACTGGTGTTCATCAAGTCTGCCACTCTCCACGTGCAATTCATTATCTGAATTGACATGCCAATGATTACACAAACCTCCGTCTTACTAATGATGGATAACTTCAAATTGATAGAAGGATTCACTCACTTATTCAGTCATTTGATGATATTCATTGACCACCTACTGTGTGCCAGGCACTAGACTGGGTAGTGGGGTTAATAATAATAAATCACTTATCCGTAGTGGATGGAACCAGTGAACACTTAACTAGGAAGATCAGTTCTGAGAAGGGAACATTATCAGCTGTGTTCCAAGAATCTTGGTATGTAACAAACCACCCCAAATTGAGTGACTTAAAACAGTGATGGTAGTTATTTTGTTCATAAATCTGCAAGTTAGGCAGGACTCTGCTCTACCCAGCATTAGCTAAGGGAGCTTGGAGGTTGGGCTGGGCTTGCCTGAAGGCTTCCTCATGTACATGTGTAGTGGTCATACTGGCTGTTGGCAGGGCCTTCAGCTGGGATTGTCAGCTGAGACACCTGCATATGTCCTCTTTCTCTGGCTGCTTATCTTTGTCATAGCAAGGTAGCTTGGTTCTAAGGGTGAACTTCCCAAGAGAGAGATTCAGATTGGAAACTGTGTCACCTTTCAGACCTAGTCTTAGAAGTGCTATAAAGCCATCTTTCCAGCATTTTATTTACTAGGAGAAAGTCACTAATACCGGTCCATTTTCAAAGGTTGGGGAATTAGTTTCTGCTTTTGGTATGTACAAAATCAGAGAATGATTGTCACAGGACCTGACGAAGGTATGACCTGATGAAGAAAGTAGCGGAAGAACATTCCAGGAAGAGGTCTAGTATGTAAAGACATTGGGAATGGAAAATGTTTGATGTGTTTAAGGAAATGAAAGACCAGTAAGGCAGTAAGTGGGGGGGAGGGAGTGTGAGATTAGAGCTGACAGGACCATATTATGTAGTTATAGGCATTTGAATTCTGGTCTGTGTACAGCTGGGGCTATTAGAAGATTTAAGATGTGTATTCACATCTTGAAAGGATCCTCCAGTTGTTCCACAGAGCATGACATGAGGTGATATAAGACTAGGAGGAGCCAGTTAGCACACTGCTGGAGCAATTCAGAGGAGAGGTATTGATAACTTGAGCAAGAATGTTGGCATTAGAGTGGAAGAGCAGTAGATGCACTTGAGAAATGGTGGAAAGAATGGAAAGGATTGATTAGCAGAGGGTGGGAGTGAGGGAAAGGAAGCTATGTAAGAAGAAATGCTTGAGAATCTGTGTGGAGACTGTAGCCATTTGTTTTATTTGAAAAACTAGGGGAAGAACTTGCTGATACAGGTAAAAGATAAAATCCAGAGTCCATTTTTAAGCTTGAGATGTAAAGTTTAAGATGTTTGTGAATGTGTAGCTTGTCTCTATAGGCATCATCCCAAAGCACCGCAGAAGGTGAATTGCCGGCAAGGCCCTCAGTGGCCACCCCAGGGACTTCCCTGCTCACTGAGTTGTGGCTTCATCCTCTCCAACAAGGTCATCTAGATCTCAGCTCTAGGGGGAGGATTGCTTTCCCACATTCATTACCTCCAGAGGTGTTCTACCTCAGCCCTGGAGGTAGTGGCTGCTCCCTATACATGCAAATCCTCTATTCTTTAGACATCTCTCTCTCTCCCTTTTTAAAAAAGATTTATTTATTTTGCATACAAAAACTGGGATACAGGCCAGAGGTGTGGGGGGCAAGAGGATTCACTGGAGACAGAGTGGGGAGCAGAACGGGAGGAATGACCGAAATACACTGAGGGGAGCAGTGGGCGAGACAGGCGAGGTCTGCTGCGCCATGTGGGTAGCTCCCTGGCTGGGGATCGAACTTGTGCTGCAGTGGCTGCGGATATCTTCATAGGTTGTGTCTTAACCCCTTGTGCCACCAGGGAGGCCCTACACATCTCTTTACCCCTGTTAGAGCTAGAAATTTTTGTATAAACTTTTCTATTCAAACTACTTTCCCTATTCAAACTCAGTGTGCTTTCTGTTTCCTAATTGGACCCTAATTGGTACAGTTGTGGTTTTGTCATGAGAGAGAGGAAAGAATTGTTAAAGTGCCATCTCTTGTATTTTTATTGTTTCTGCTTTATGTCTCCTTCTTCAGTAGCATATGTTTGTTCAAGCTTCACTTAAAAAAGAAAACAAAGCAGCACCCATACTTATGCTTTATCTTCCTCTGGTTACTGCTCTATTTGCATTTGCAGACACATTCCTAATATATATATATATATATATATATATATATATACACACACACACACACATACATACATATGCCTATATATACACAAACACATTTATATGTATATATACATGTATGTAAATATATGTATTTTTTAACTGACTGTGAATGAACTATTGTTCTTAACTGTTATCCCCTCTCTGTAACAGAATGACAAAACCATGCCCAACATGGGCCTTGCCCATCCTTCCTCTAGGGAAGTGTCCATCTCTGCTCCATTGAGTTGGATCTTGGCCATGACAGTTGATTTGATCCATAGAACATGGGTCGAAATAGGAGAGTGCCTATTCTCAGCAACATTTATGAGACAACATGTTTCTATTTATCTCTCTTGAGCTTCTGCTCTCTGCCATGAGGAGGGCATGGCCCATGCTGCATCATTTGTACAGTCTTGGCTATTGTGATCAATTGTTTATCCCAACAGGAGCTTCGTTCATAGTTTCAAGTAGAAGCACATTGGATAAGTTGGTATGAGATTGTGCCAGTCTCCTCCTGATCTCTCGAATAAGTGAGGTGGGCAAAGAAGCAAGAAGAGGATCACATTTTATCTTCCTGAAAAGGTTTCTTTGCAGTTCTGACCACAACAACTCATTAATTAATCAATTGCCACTATCGATGTCTGTGTCCCTTCCAAATTTATGTATTGAAGCTCTGACCCCCAATGTGACTGTATTTGGATGTGGGACCTTTTCTCTAATAATTCAGGTTAAGTGAGGCCATAAATGTTGGGCCCCTAGGAGTAGTGTCCTTACAAGACATGAACCAGAGAGCTTTCCTCTAGTATACGAGCACAAAGAAGAGGTCATGGGAGTACATGGTGAGATGGTGGCTGTCTACAAGCCGGAAGAAAGCTCTCCTAGGAACTGAAACAACTGACACCTTGATCTTGGACTTGGCCTCCACAATGGTGAGAGAGATATTTCTGTTGTTTAAGCTATCCAGTTTATGGTATCTTATTATAGAAGCCCAAGCATATGAATAGAATTGTTTTAAATTATGTCTTCCCCATTAGAAACCATGCATTTCTGTTTCCCCAGTATCACTAGTGCCTTATATGGTACCTTTTACCATGACACTCAATAAGTATTTGTTGTATGAATGAATGGTTAATAAATCAACATGATGGCATCAGTATCCTCATTTTATAGTGGAGAAAATTAACAGCTATGAAAAGATACTTAATATTCACAGCCCAGAAACACAAATAGCATTACATTAACCAAAATTAATTGAAAATCTATTAGGATCAAATAACATTTTCAGGCATCAACTACATTAGAAGTTGCTTTAGTTGCTTATTGAAAAGGGTCATATCTGCTCTGATTTCACTCTAGGACCCTTTCTCTAATCAGGGCCAGAGGTTTGCCAGCCCACATTGGGTTCTTTCCCTAAAAATCAATGCTGTCAGAGTGAGCAGACAGAAAGCTGAGGAGAGTTTCATTGCCTCAGGCAATGTGGGGACATGAGAGTATTTGGCATTCCCATTTTGCAGAGAGTCTGGTCTTTACCACAGGCTTAGAAACTGAATCTGCCAGCATCCACAGTGCAGTCATCTCTGAACTTTAATTCTTGTTATTTAAGCTCAGAGTTGACAGGTGAGACCAGAATGTGTTTTTATTGACTCACAAGAGGGCTGCTTCTGTGTCTGGAATATTGTCTCCACATGGCTTGCATATTCTTTCACTGAAGACAGACCTCCAAGGAAGCCAAATTATCAGAAGGTTGCTTAGTGAACATAGCATCCAAATGTGGAGAGCAAGTTCCATCATTCATTCAGATGTTTAATGGCATCAGGCTGGGAGAGCCTGACACGGCCATTCTTACTGGCCTCGCCAATGGGAATGCCCTCGCCAATGGGAACAGAATATTCAAGCCATTGGCTGAGGGGCCCTCTCCATCAGGCTTTCTCAGATGGGCTCTGCTGACGGTCACCATCATGAGACTCATTTTTCTAAGCTTTCTTGGCTGCCCTGCCCTGCCCTGTTGATTCATCTTTTTCCTTGCTAAGCTTTCAGACTTATTCTGCCTCTTTACGATGATTTTGTCCATCTCAGCTCTTATCTGCTCTCTGAAGATTTTCTAATTTAATTAAAGTCTTTTGAGTTCTAATAATCCTGTGGTTTGATGTAAAGTATAAATATAATTAAAATACAAATATGCTCAATTCTGTGTTTGTCTTTCTCCCTTCAAAGGTAAAAGACATAAATCTCAGCTGTGACCAAAAGCCCCTTATCAACTTGAGCCAAACAGTAAGATTTTAAAAACAGCTTATTGCCCTGGCTGGGATTACTGACCTGGGGAATTCTCCCCAGAAAATAGATCCTCAGGGAGTGTGGTCAGTGGCTGTCACCCCTGGAGGTCAGTCAAGTGGGAAACTTGCTAGGTCCATAGCCCAGAGGACTCATCTGTGTGCCCTGTTATAGACTATTAGCTCTGTGTTCCATAATGTTATTACCTTTAATTTTGCCTTCTTTTTGTCTTCTTTGTATATTTATTTAGCTAATTTTTTCTTATGTCATCTTCTTTATTTTTTAGAACTGTTATTTATTGATCTATTTTATTTTTATTGCAATAATACTAGCCTTCCCACCATCTCTCTCTAGCCTACACCCCATCTTCAGGTTTGTTTTAAATTGAGGTAACTTCAATTTACAACATGGTATAGGTTTTCGGTATATAGTTTCTCACCTCAAACAACTGTCCAGATCACAACACACCCACCACCAAATGTCCAGTAACTGTTCATCACCAGCTGATGGGCCCCCACCACTTCTTTTAGCTATTAAACTTCTGTTTTTAAATTTTTCATATTTTCTATTATTTATTCTACTTCTTAATCTCTTTTCTGCTATTTTACCTTAATGTCATGATAATCATATAGTTTATATTAGTAAACTCACTACTAACTTTGTTTACAAATAATAATTTTTTAAAATAAATTTTATTTTTATATTCCCCATACAATTGCAACCCCCTTATTTTGACCCCAATCCCTCCCCGCCCTGCCCCCCACCCCCCATAGAGTGTCTCTGGTTCATAGTTTTTTGTTGATTTTGATTTTCACTTTCTTATAGTTATTCATTTTCCTGGTCCCTTATTTAAGTTTTCTAGATTCCTGCTATGAGTGAGACCATCCGGTATTTTTCTTTTTCTTTTTAGCTTATTTTGCTGAGCATGATCCCTTCCAGCGCCATCCATGTTGTTGAAAATTGCATGTGTTTATCTTTTTTGAATGCTGAGTAATATTCCATGGTGTATATGTACCACATCTTCTTGATCCAGTCATCTATTTTTGAGCATTTGGGTTGTTTCCAAAGCTTAGCTATTGTGTTTACAAATAATATTTTATCTGACTTGGACCATAACTCTGTAAGGGGACAGAGAAATGAAGCCATATATATTGTGAGGGGAGGTCCTTGACCAAATACATAGGAGATCTTTTTCCTCCGAGAGGCCTTTTCAGCATCCCAAGTAGTTTCCCAAGGCTGAATTTCTTTCACCTGAACCTCTTGACTTTGTTACTCAGTTCTAGGAAAATAATATCTACACCTACAAATGACATTATCAGAACTATGAGAACTTTTTGCAGCATCTTGCTTCATGGTTGTAAATGGAGAGGACCTTGAGGAGGAGTCCACCAGGCTGGGGGATGGTGGGTTTAGTGGGACTGGGTCAGTCATATGTGGCAATTAGTGAAGGTAATCAGGTTTGCAATCCTTGAGTTAATGTTATAGTAAGACTGTAAAGTTGTTCATAATTGAAGCTGGCAAGAGAGTTTTTACCGGACACAATGACAGAGTTTAAAAGCACAGGAACTTTATGTAATGAGTTCTGTGCCATTGCACATCTTCCATGGAATGATGAAGATGACCCCAGTAAGGCCTAGTGGGAAGCCCAGGTTGTCCCAGTAGGCAGAATCCCCAATCTTTGGGGAAGTCATTCTGGAAAATGGTCCCCAGGCCAGCAGGTAGCCCATGATATGATACCAAATTGCCACTTTAATCTTTATTTGTAACATCTCCTTAAGTTCCACTTCAGTCCTATTTCCCTATTCCAGAGGGTAGAGGTTGGTGAGTGGGTAAAATGCAAACTTCTCTTATGAAAAAAATGAATGTTTGAAGAGGCTGGTTGTAAGGAATGGAACCAGCACGGAAACAAAGACATCCCCTCTGCCACACTAAACAACATGTAACTTCAGCTCACTGTCCCCTCTAGAAGACAATTTCTTTGGAAACACTAGTTTTACTCTCTCCTTTTCTTATCACAAGGAAATAAATCCTGTGATGTATGTGTTCTGAGTGACCATCTTAAGGGATCCGTGAAGTAACAACTTTCTAAAAAAAATATTTTCTTGATAATACTAGGTTATTTACATCCTTACTCTTAAGAAGATGCAATTTTCCAGAGCTAAGTGCTCTGGAAAAGCAGATTTTAATGCAATTTTAAACATTAACATACAGAAGCAGCTAGAAAATCCAGTGGCCTTCCATTTGGCTTCTATGAAGCCAGACATCAGAGACCTTTCTCACTAAATTATTTGGTTTTGTAAAGTTGTCAACAAAATGTTATTTACGTTAACTTGTAATGTGTTTGGTATTTTGAGTGTTTTAAAGCTTTAATTTCTAATGCGATAAAAATATCGATACAAACTTCAAAAAAGTTCCTTGGGGTCCTCTACAATTTAGGGATCTTGTGAACAGTCTGAGAACTCTGTGTGCTGGTGCAACTTGTGGCTGAAAGAATGTGGGCCCTTGTGATCACTACATCTTGCTTCCAACCTGCACACCTTTTTCTTATGGTTGTCTACACTGTACTTCCACCTGCAGTTCTACCCCTCATTCAAAAGCATCTTGTCCTCCTATTATGTGGTCAAGAGCTTGCACTCCTTTCCGGATGCTGGGTTGGGAGAGGGGGCAACGTGCAGGCCTCCCTGGGCCACTTGACTTTCTCAGGCTTGGGTAACACTCCGTGGCTGGCCGGGTCTGGGTTTCTCTAGATAGGGCGGGAATGGGGGTAACTCCCGGCTCCAACCCGGCCCACCCACCATATGCTTTGACTAAGCGTCGATGCCTGGTCTCAAGTAGGGCGGAAGGCCGGTGAGGCCCGGGAAACTGTGAGAGACTGTCCAGGAGCCCCGCGGCTGCGAGGCACGGTGGAAAGCTGACAGCCGCCACGCCCCGGCCCGATCCCGGCCCACAGCAGGAGAGGCGGGGCCACGTGCCCACGAGGGGCGGGGCCACGTGCCCACGGGGGGCGGAGCCTTCAGCGCGCGCGGGAAAGGGGCCGGCGCCGCTTGCGCGCGCAGTCAGCAGCCGCGCGCCACTCGCTCTGGGCCCGCATGGCGGCGGCGGCTGGAAGCGGGACGCCCCGGAAGAGGAGGGGCCTGGTGGGGAAGCCGCGACCCCGCAGCCCCAAGCCCCGACTAATGCGCCTGGGGCTCGTCTCTCGAGGCTGCCCCTAGCGCGAGTGAAGGCCTTAGTGAAGGCGGACCCCGACGTGACGCTCGCGGGGCAGGAAGCCATCTTCATTCTGGCGCGAGCCGCGGTGCGGCGGGGGCGCGGGGAGCGCGGCGGGGACGCGGGCGCGGGGGCGGGGAGCCGGGCTGAGGGCGGCGCTCGGCGGTGGTTTTGGCCGGGTTTGGACCTGCAGCGGGAAGAGGAGGGTCTGGGCGGGGTGCGCTGACGACGGCGGGGCCAGAGAGGCTGGGCGGGGATTTTGAGACGTGAGTGTGGGAAGGGACGACAGGAGGCGTATCCACAGCAGTTGCTCTGGTTTAGTACTTCTGCCTCTTCTTGAGGACTTGGACGGCTTAAGTTTGCATCTCCAGTGTTAAACACACAGAAGTTGTAAGAGACTTTAGAGTATGAGTGGGATGGATTTTCGAGATACATCCCGACCTTCCCGATAACATCTACTACATACCCGAGCTCCCTTTCACCCCCTTCGCTTCACTCACAAACTTGAGCGCTCATGGGAACTGTGAGAGCCCATCGATACACCTATATTTGTTTGTTTCACAGGAATTGTTCGTGGAGACCATTGCAAAAGATGCGTACTGCTGTGCTCAACAAGGAAAGAGGAAAACGCTCCAGAGGAGAGATTTGGGTAGTGTCACTGTGATAACTTGTATTGGGGGGGGGTGGGCGGGGAGAGAGCTTTACTTTTCACTGGTTGATAAGGTATCAGTCACTAAGTTGAGAGTTGCCAGTGGGTCTCTCTGTGTTATCATCTTTGGGACTACCACAATACCAGTTAGTCTCTGATTTGAGTGACTGAAGGGGTGGTGGGACAGAGAATGAAAGGAGTGTAGGTGCTGCCAAGTGGCTGTTCTTTCTTTCTTTTTTTAAAGATTTATTTATTTATTTATTTATACAAGCACTGGGTACAGTCAGAAGCACGGGAGGGTGAGAGAATTCACCAGAGTCAGAGCGGGGAACAGAACAGGCAGACTGACGAAACACACTGCTGAGGGGAGCAGCGGGCGGCAGGAGAGGTCTGCGCGCCATGTGGGTCCCTCAGCCAGTGGTTGGGGATCGAACCAGCGCTGCAGAGGCAGCGGGCAGCTTTGCAACCCAGCGCTCAACCGCTGTGCCATCGGGGAGGCCCCTGTTCTTTAAATTTTACTACACCAGACTTGATATTTGTTTTCTCCTTAGACTTGGGTGGGGTGGGGGTGGGGAATAGGTTGATACCTGATTCAGCCTACCCACGTGTGTAAGCTTTCATTTACCATATTTGCACCCTGTTGTATTGCCAAACACATCTTAGTAACTTTCAAAGAAGTAGTTCCTCCTGCTGAATAGTATTTATTTGCACAGACTTCTACTCTTGTAGAAGAGACTGTTGAAGTGCAAGATTTAGTGGTGGAGTAGAAATGGATCTCAAGACTGCAAAGAGCAAATTTTATAAACACTCTTATTTGCTAGACCTCCTCTCAGTGTGGGCAGTGTATTTTTTGGGGCTGATGGCCAAATGACTAGTCAGTCAGGTGTCTTTTTACCTTGTTTCAGATAATGCAATAGAAGCTGTGGATGAATTTGCTTTTCTGGAAGGTGAGTCTGGATCAGTGGGTAATCCTTTCCACCTGTCTTTTCCATGCAAATGATCTAAGCTCAGAGACTTGTGAAAATGGATGCCTGGTTCTTCCTTGTTTGTATAGGAATATTTTTTTCCTCACTGTTTCCTATTAAGATAAGAAAAACTGGTGAGATATAGCAATTCTAATTTCCTTGAGGAATTTGCGCTTCTACTTGAAAATTGCTAACCATAAAGAAGTGGGAGGGAAATGGGGAGGAATTAGGTAGATTCAGAAATTTGTTTCCTGCTTTGATCTCTGTCTCTGGGTATAAATCTTTCCCCTCATCAGAATTCTAGAGATCAGAAGCAGTTGCCAACATTAAAAGGTTACTTTTTGTGCCTTTTTCTTTTTCATAGTTTGGAAAAGTGATTGTTTTGCTGCAGTGAGATTCTGTGCTTGCCTGTATTTGTTCTTAGTAATTTTACATTAACACGGATGATAGCTTAATCATGTTACTGAAATAGCAAATATTTGAAGTACCTCATTTTATCTACTCTCTGAGCTATTTCTACTACCTAACTAAATTTGACATTTTACTCTTCCATTACATACATTCTCGTGGAACAGTTTTGCAAAGCAAATAACCTTCACCAAGGTATTCTCATATCATCCTCAGGCCTTCTTACCTTCATATTTTAAAAATTTATTTCATTGTTGCTGCTCTATTGTTCTGTAACTCTGTATCAATCTAGGTTCCTGGCCCTTTTTATATATTCTTTTAAGATGCTTTCCCATGATTACCTTTAAACCTATGTTATTGAGTATTCTCTTAATTTGTAGATCTTTCCCAAGCTTATCTTTCTACCTACTCACTTTTCTTAAAAATAACTTGTTAGCTGCCTACCAAGGGCAGGCAATTACTTGTGACTGACTTCTTGTTAAGTTCTCCAGTCTAAAATGGTTGGAGCCAGGTCTTCCTGGTGGTGCAGGGGTTAAGTCTCAGCGCTGTCAGGCTGTTGGCCAACCACTGTGGCATGAGCTCAATGCCAGTCCAGGGAGCTAATCCACATGGCACAGCAGACCTTTCCTGCCTCTCTGCTGCTCCCCTCAAAAGTGAATTTCAGTAGATCTGCCAGTTCTGCTCCCCACACTGTCTCTGGTGAATCCTTTCACCCATTCTTTACCCACACCACCTCTGGCCTACACCCAGAGCATATACCTTGTATGCATAAATAAATAAATCTTTAAAAAAAAAAATGTTTGGAGCCTACTTTATTGCTCATTTTTAATTACCAGCTTTTCAAAGAGATGAATGATATCAAATTTGTATTCAAATATTACCACCCTGTACATAATAAATTGGGTGCCTGAAATAGAAGTGTGGGGAGTTTATATCGTTTTTGACTCTATCCTATTTTATGGCATACTGCTTAGTTTGGATTTTTAACTCCGTAGGATAATACTTACCTTGGATTTTTAGTAAATGCCCATTTACTGAGTGGTAGATATGTTCACTTTTATCTTCTGATGGAATATTAGTATTTAAATTTCTCTGCTGTATGCTACTTAATAGATTGGAGTTTTGCTATTTTAGCTCTTGTGGATTCAGGAAGTATTATTTTGTACCTGGTAAAATAAATGTTCTTATGCACTTAGATGTGTATATTCTAAGTAGAAAATAATTTTTTTTTTCTTTTTTAATCAAACAAATATATATTCATTCTTAAACATCAAATAATTACCTGATGGCTTATAAGGAAATGCAGCCTCATCCGTTTATTGTTTCTGGCTTTAGCTTTTTCGGTAGCAACTTAAATATGTGTAAATAATATGTTTCATCCTTGTAAATGTGATCTGTTTACCAAAAATGTTATCTGTTAATTTCCTGCTATGATAAATGAAGATTTGATTAGTCTGTTACCCCATTAAATCCATTTCTTCCTTTCTGTTTTTTGGTAGTTGCATCATATTTTTAGTTCCTTTGTTACCTTACAGTTTATATGACATACTAAAATGTCCATTTTTTTGTGTACCCAATTTTCAGCTTATTTCTTGACCTCCTACTTCTTCATTGTTAGTGTATCTATTGTTATATAGGTATGATTGTTAGTGTATCTATTCCTTCCTTTCCCATTTTTAGCCTACTTTTAGCTCTCATTTTGTGTCATCTATACTTTGACATTGTCAGGGCTTTTAACATCTGTATCTTAGCAGAGTTAAATCTTCCATGCTTTATGTATAGGTTGAGTGTAGATACTAGCAGTGCTGTGGACAGTCTTCCTCTACACACACTCATCCCTCATACAGATTTCCTTCCTGCAGGCAGCTATTAGTTTCGTTATGCAAATATGTCTGTATATGTATATCTTTATTTTATTGTGGTATAAATTGACATAACATTAGTTTCAGATGTACAACTTTACAGTACATTTGTATATATTTGAAGTGATCACAATAAGTCTAGGTAGCATTCATCATCATACATAGTAACACATTTTTTTTCTTAAGTGTATATTTTCTAAGCTTTTCCTTGTAACACAAAGTATAGAATTGAAATCAAGAGGTAATAAAATGAACACCATAATAACCACCAGTTAGGCCTAGAAGTAGGGCACTGTAGGAGTATTCTAGTTCTGTATATTTCTTTTTCATCATGTCTTTCCATCCCTTTCTTGATCTAATAGTATAGTGACTTATACCTTTCTTGATTTTCTTTCTGGTTGTACCATATAAGAATGCATCACTTTTATAGTTTTTTTTTTTTTTAACTTTATAAAATGGAAGTACCCTGTCTTTCTTTATTGGGCAGCATCTGTCCCACAGCTTTTTTCTTTAGATTGAGCTATGTGCTGCACATATCTATAGATAGTTCTTTTCTCTGCTGTATGGTGTACCATTATGTGACAATAATGCAGTGAAACCATTTTAATGTTCCTTTGTTGGATTCTGTTGTTTAATATATCCTGTTGTTGTTGTTACGAACAATTTGCTGAGAATATTCTTGTACATTTTCCACAAAGTTGGTGTGTGTGAGTGTATGAAATTGTTGAGCATAGGCTGTGTATTAGGTGCTGGCCATCTTTCTGTATTTCACATTTCTACCAGCAGTGTATAGTTCCCATTGCTCTTCATTCTCACCAACACTTGGCATTGTGAGGTTTTTATTTTGCTATCAATTTTTGATTGTGATAGGAATGTATAATGACAGCTGCATTGTAGTTTTAATTTGCATTGCCCTCATTACTGGAAACATTGGTCATCTTTTCATATGTATCTCCATTTTGAGGGTGGGGTTGTTAAGTTCGCTTGGATATTTCATCATTTTTTCTTATTCCTAAAAATACATATTCTGAATAGGAATCTTTTTCAGTATATGGGAAGCAAGTATCTTTTCCTGCTTTATGACTTTTTAGAATATCTTTTGATAAACATGAGTTCTTAAAAGTAGTCACATGTATTTTTTTAATTTATAGCTAGGGCTGTGTCCTGCTTAATAGGAAATTGCTCTCTTCTTCTAACATCTTTATACTTTTGTCTTTTGTAAAGCTGGAGTGGACTTTTTGTGTATCGAATTGAGATAGGGTCTAGTTTCATTTTTTTTTTGCCTTCTTTATCAGCTATCCACTTGTCCATAACCATTTGTTTAGCATTGCTACCTTTGGTACAAATCAAGATTGTTTCTGAGCTTTTCTTTTCTCGCCTATTGATCTGTTTGTCTATTCCTATGTCAGTACCACACTTTCTCAATTACAGTTAATTTTATCTGAAACAGCAAATCTTCCCACCTTGTTCTTTAAGTGTGTTTACAATTCATTGCATTTTCTTGTACATTTTAGAAGCTGCTTGTTAAGTTGCACAAAAAGAACCTTTGATTGAGATGGCATTACACCTATATATTACTTTAGGGGAGAAATGATATTTACAATAATGAATCTTCCAGTTCATGAATGTGATATAGTTCCCCATTTATTTAAGTCTTTAATTTCAAAAAAAATTTTTATTTTCCTGACGAAATCTTGACATATTTTGTTAGATGTGTTCTTCTAAATACCTCCTATTTTTGAGGCTTTTATTGATGGTATCTTACTAGAAAAAAATTGTATTTTCTAAATGTTGCTAGTTATGGAAACATAACTGATTTTTATATGTTAATGTTACATCTACCATGTTGCTCAACACTTATTATTTCTCATGACTTGCCTATTGATTCTTTTGGATTTCCTTAATTGTCTGCCAGTGTGACAGTTCTGTGACATTTTGCCCAATCCTTTTAAATTTCTTTTTTCTTGCTATGCTACACTAGAAATGGTGATAGCCATTATCTTGATTTCAGAGAACTTTTGATATTCCCCAGTAATTATAAATACCATAGATTTTTGGCAGATTAATTTTAACTTAGTAAATGTTGTATCATTATTTGTAAGAGAGATTAGCATTTTCTTTCATACTGCGTGTGAGCTTCATACAAATTAGTTGGAGAATATATCTGCTTTATCTGTTCTCTGGGAAACTTTTTGCAAAATTGCATTACTTTTATTGTGAATGTTTGTGGAGTTTAGTAATGCAGCTATCGAGGCTTTTTGGTAACTTTTAAAACTTAATCACAGCCTTTTTTGCTGATTACTTCACTAGAAAGTTGTCACTTTTCAAAGAACCAACATTTGGCTTTGTTGATTCTCTCTAGTATATATATTTTTGTTTCTTATTACTTGATTTCTGCTCTTATTTCTTTCACTTTTTTCAAGTTTACTATCCTTCTCTTTTGTAACCTTTAAACTTTGTTTCTTCTGTATATATTTTCATTGTAAAATTTTCACAAAGTTTTGCATTAGTGTCTCACAAGTTTTAATAGAAAATATTTTTATAATCATTTGTTTGAAATATTTTTAATTTTTTTTTTGTTGTTGACCTTCAAGTTCTGAAGAACTTGGGTTATTTAAATGAATATTTCTTAATTTCCAAAAACATGAGAATTTTATAGTTCTCTTTTTACTGTTATTAATGATAATCACATTATGTTCAGAAAATATACTTTATTATTTTTGTACTTTGGAATATTTGAAATTTTCTTTAAGGCCCCAGTCAGTATATGATCAACCTTATGACTATTCTTTCTGTCCTCAAAGAAGAGATATAACCTGTAGTTACTGCAATTTAGATTATTTGTGTTCTTACTGAGTATCTTTTTAGTCTGCTTAATCAATTTTTAACAGTTGTGTACTAAAGTCTCCTACTACAATTGTAGACTATTTCTACTTATATTTCTGTGTCTATTTTTTCTTTATTTATTATAAGACCATGTGATTAGGTATATGTAAATTTAGTGTTATGCATCATTGGTGATTACTTTTGTAGTGCTTCTTGCCTTAAAAATCTATTTTGTCTAACATTACAGGTTACTATCTTTTTTATGTTAGTATTTGTATGGTATGTTTTTCCATTTTTACCTTTCACATCTTTGTAAATGGTATGTAATTGGATTATTTTTAAGAGTTCAGACTGTCTTTAATGGGAACTTTCTTTATATTTTATGTTATTAGTCATTTGTGTAGGTTTAAATCTATCATCTGTGATTTCTGGTTTTTTTGGCCTGTATTACTTTTTTTTCTTTAGCTTCTGATTTTTTCTATTTGGAGTAGAGTTTATTCCATTTTCTCCTCTGTCATTTTGGAAGTTATATACTCTTTCTGTTATTCTTTTAATTGTTATTCTCAGTTGCTTCATGCATCTTTAATTTATCAAAGCCTGATGTTAGCACACAAGTCTGAGCTCTCTTTCTGTGAGTTTGGTGGGTTTTTTTTTTTTTTTAAGAGTCCAAATATAAGTGAAATCACAGTATTTGTTCTTCTTTGACTTACTTCACTTAGCCTTCAGGGTCCATCCATGTTGCAAACGGTAGAATTTTCTTATTTTTTATGACTGAAAAACATTCCGTTGTATATGTACACTGCAACTTCTTTTTTCAATTTTCTTCTGCAATGCACCTATGGGCATTTATCAGTGCAAGATATCCTTATTTCAAATCCAAGACTTGCAGATTCTTGGATCACTGTGGTAAATGCAAACAAACCATAACTGCAGGATCTGAGAGGGGGCTAATTTAGTTCTGATTCTGCTTTACTCTGAGAGTTTAGCCATTTGGTACTCTAGCTTTTAAAAGAGAGGTTATAAGATCCTTTCCTCTTGGAAGGATTCGGGCATTTGACTCTTGATTCTCTCAGTCTGCCAAAGCCATAGCAGTTTCTCGGCTCTTTCTTTTAGATTGGAAAATACCCTCAATGCCAGAAGCTGCTTTGCAGGGTGGGACTTCATGTTCTTGTCTTTTCTAGATTTCGGATTTGCCTTTTCTTGATGCTTCTTCAATGTCTAAAGGATTTTCATTTTAAAAATAGTTTTGTCAGTTGGTCCCAGCAGTAATTTGTATTACCACTTTAAAAAATAGAAATTTTGGTTTCTCACTGTGTAGGTTTTCTTCAAATGCCTGGTAATTTTCATTCTATTTAAAAATGAGGGAATTAGAAGACTTGGGAAAATGTGTGTGTGCATGCGTTTGTGTCCTCTTTATATAACAGTTTAGAGTGGGCAGAGTTGGACCACATATCATGCTGGGGACCACCAAGGGCTAGAACGCAGAAAACTTTACTGTGACAAATAGGCATTTTCAAAAGCTGCTCTAGTTCTATCCCATTAATTCATTTAGTTTTTTAGAAGAAAGTCCTCTGGTTCTTTCTTCCCAAGATGGTTTAAATGCTTGCTTTTTGGTGGTGCTGCATGCAGGGTGTGTGGAGATGGGTTTAACTGTTTTTCTTGTATAGACTCTTGAAGTCATTAACCCATTTTAGTCTTGTATTTCTTCCATCATTCTTGGGGTCTGAGTCTGGATCTCCTCTTGGGTCTTCTAAGCAGATGGGCTCCCATCTCTGCTGAAGCTCCCTTCGTGTTCATACCAGGCTTTGTTTTCCTCTGTTCTATTTATAAATAAGATTAAGTCATATTTGTATTATTCAGTTCTTTGTTAAAGTCTCAACTGCTGGTGACACCTATTTTTTGATGTAGATTAAATTTTTTTTGAACTGTTTTCTCTATTGAATGGAATCTTGCGTGGGAGAGTCCATGAACTTATCGGTCATTCACCCACCTTGAACTGGCACTTCTAAAAAGATTATAAACTTCGCACAGAGAATTTATCTCATGGGTTTTTTTTAATCACTTACCCTTTTATGGTTTCTACAGTGCTCATTGATGCAACTTACCCCTTTTCTCACTTCTAACTCTGCAGATTACTGTGCTTAATTCCTAACTGACTACCTTCTGTGATGACATGTTTTCCCCCCAAGTATCTTTTGGATGGATATTCTTCTAAATGAGTATTTCGATCTTAGAAAACTGTCAGTGCTAGAACAGCTTCCATTTTAACTTTGCCCAGATTGTTACACTCATCCAGCTCTTGAGGCACCTTGCTTTACACGTTGCTCTTTGTATTTCTAGGTACTTTGGATTGATTACTCAGCTGGGCAGTTCTGTGACCCTTCACCTGCATCCTTCAGTTAGTCCCGTCCTGCAGGCCTCAGCTTTGAAGACAGTCTGGATTATTGTACTTACACTTTCCTGTTCTACCTTCATCTAAGCCGGGATAAGCAGAGATCTCATTTGTTAGATTTTTTCTACAAGGTCTTCCACTACTTGTGTCTTTGATTTCAGGCCTGGGATACAAGCTGTGTTGCTGCTTGTGGCAGAGATAAAAAAAAAATGTTTTGTGTAGGTTGCCTAATAAATGATGAGGACCAGAATAAAGGTCTCTGATCAACTTCAGCCTAGTGTGTTTTGTAACTTTGTGTTTGTCTTTGCCTCTATGACTGGAGAATTACCATACCTAGTCACAGACTGTCCTATGTTTCCTGCCAGTTATTCCAAATCTTAGTCTTCTCATTTGATTTTCATCTTTGCAGCATGTCATTCAGAATGTGGTTCCAGAATTTATTGGGTGCCACTTAAGGTCTTAAGTTCAAATAAATTGTGGTAATAAATATACAACTAACTAAATTTTTTAGCAACTTTATTGAGACACAATTTACACGCCTTACAATTAATCCATTTTAAAGTGGACACATTTCAGTAGTTTTTAGTGACTATACTAATATTGGAACTATCAAGTTTAGAACATTTTCATTTGAGTGGAATCATACTATGTGGTATTTTGTGTCTGGCTTCTGTCATGTAGATGATGTTTTCAAGTTTTATATTACAGCATGTGTTAGTGTCCTTTATTTTTAGATTGTGGTAAAATATACATAACAAAAGTTGTTTTAAGTATTTTTAAGTGGATTGTTGTACATTTGCATTGTTTTGCATTCATTGTCATCATTCATCTCCAGAACATTTTTCATCTCACCAAACTGAAATTCTGTATTTATTAAACAATAACTCCTCATTGTTCCCCTATCTCAGGCAGTGGCTAAATTTTGGTTTCTGAGAAAGAGTGAGGGTGACCTAGTAGAAAGGAGGCAGAGTATTTGGAAAGTAGTAGTTAAGAAGCCTAAGATGGTGGGTCTTAATTATTTTTGGATTATAGATTGAAGATAACAAAGTTGATACATCTCCCTAGAAAAATGCAAAGATGCTCATTCCTGTAATGTTTCATGAGTAAATTTTATTTTAGAGTAACACTAGAATGAAAGAAAAACTGCAAAGATAGTACAAAGTTCTTATAAACTCCTCGCCTAATTTCTTCATTGTTAACATTTTAGATTACCAGGTTTATTTGTCAAAACTATGAAACTAATCTTTATAGGACTATTAACTAGTCAGACTTTATTTGAATCTCTCCAATTTTCATATTAATTCCCTTTTTCTTTACCAAGACCCAATTCAGGATATTACTTTACATGTGCTATCTTTTCAGTCTCCTGTGGTCTGTTTTAATTTTTGGTCTTTTTGCGCTTTTGGTGAACTTGATAGCTTTGAGTAGCACTAATCTTACAGAATGTCATCTCAAATGGGTTTATCTTTTGATTGGTTAGTCCCACAACTTTGAGTATGGTTTCAGAGGATCTTAGATCCTGAAGTCTTGGAAGAGACTCAGGGTCTAATTATTATTGCAAATGGAATTTTAAAGGACATGCTGGCCTTCGTTCAAGATAAACTCAGAGGTTGCTACCCATTATTGGAACATGCTACCCAGTATGTCACCACTGGCATTTTAAGATATGTTAGAAGCATCAGAGTTTTGAATAAAATTAAATATTTTTGTTTCATTTATATGTATCTTTAATAGGTAATTGTGTGAAGTGTATGTTATACAGAATTTGGGGCCCCCCTTTACCTTCACTCCTGGTTTCATACCTGTTGTGGATATGTTACGTAGCATGACAACAGCTGTTGCAGATCCAGCTAGTCAGTTGGCTTTAAAATAGATTATCCTCCATTATCTGGGCAAAGTAATCACAGAAACCTTATAAGCAGAACCTTCTCTTTGGCTGAGGATAGAAGAGGAAGTTACAGAGATGCGGCAGAAGAGGATGTCAGAAAGATTTAATGCATCAAAAAGACAACTAACTATTGCCAACTGTGACATTGGAGAAGGCTGTGAGCCAAGGAATGTGGACAACCTCTGAATGACAGCAAAAAAGTGACTTCTACAATGGCATTAGACCGAATTCTGCAAGTGACATGTATGGTCTAGAGACTGGATTTTCTCCACCGATCTCCATATAGAGTCCAGCTGACCAACACCTTCATTCTGAGCAGAGAATCCAGCCAGCTGTGCCAGACTTCTGACCTGCAAAACTGTGAAAATAAATATTGTTTTAAGCTGCCAGGTTTGTGGTAATGATGTATTTTTTACTTGGAGTCAAGGTTTTAAAAAAACAAAAATTGAAAATTACTGCTTTTGTGGCAAGGATCCTAGAATGGGGGTCAAGAGACTTCTCATCTTACCCATTCCTGCTACTCATCTAATCAGTTGAGTGGGTTATTCTAAAATTTTTTCCATATAACATGTTTTATGAATTATTTTTATTAAAGCAAATTTTACTCCATTTATTGCATAGTTCTGTTTTAATAAGTGCATGTAATTACTATTTCATTCATGTTTATGAAGACATATGACCATAAAAATTTCTACATGCTGCCTCTTTATAGTGCTTTCTCCCCTCGGTCTCCCACCTAGCCCCTGGTAACCATGGATCTGTTTATTGCCCCTATACTTTTGCTTTCATAAATCATACAGTATGTAGACTTCTGTGTCTAAGTTCTTTAGGATAATGCATTTGAAATTCATACATGTTGTGTGTATCAATAGTTTGTTCCTTTTTATTGCTGAGTAATATTCCACCAGGTGGAATATGTTTTCCACATCCATTCTCATTTGAGGAATATTTTGATTGTTTCCAGTGTTTTGTGATTATGAATAAAGTTGCTTTAAACATTTGTGTACATGTTTATTTTTGTGTGTGAATACAAGTTTTCATTTGGGTAAATATTTAGGAGTGGGGAATCTGGTGAAAGGCACATGTAATTTTTATTTTTTTTACTATTTAAAAAATTAAAAAAATTTACATCACTGTTCATTTTTAAACAATATTTGCTTCCCCCCACCCCCTCAGGTGTAGTCCCCATAGAGTTTCCTTCACCAGTGCACCTGTGCACCATCACCTCAGACCCCTGTGCTCCTCCCCTCCATCCCTCTCCCTCCTCCTCCCCTGCAGTATGTCTCTGATTTATAATTATCTGTTTTTGCTTTGTTGTGTTTTGTACTGTTATTATTTGTTTTGTACTGTAAGTGAAGCCATGCAATATTTTTCTTTCTCCTCTGGCTTATTTCCTGAGCATAATTCCTTCTAGCTCCATACCACATTGCTGCGAATGGCATGAGTTTATCTTTTTTGATTGCTGAATAATATTCCATTGTGTATATATACCACATCTTCTTGATCCAGTCATCTATTTTTGGGCATTTGGGTTGTTTCCAGGTTTTACCTATTGTAAATAGTGCTGCAGTAAACATACGTGTACAGGTGTTCTTTTGAATCAATGTTTTTGTGTCCTTTGGGTAGATCCCTAGGAGTGAAATTGCCAGGTCATATGGTAGCTCCATTTTTAGTAGACTGAGGAACCTCCAGACAGCTTTCCACAGTGGTTGGACCAGTTTGTACTCCCACCAGCAATGTAGGAGAGTTCCTTTTTCACCTCATCCTTGCCAACATTTGTTACTGCTTGTTTTTTTGATATGTGCCATTCTTACTGGTGTAAGGTGGTATCTCATTGTAGTTTTGATTTGCATTTCCGGATTATAAGGGATGTTGAACATTTTTTCATGTGCCTTTGGCCATTTTCATTTCCTCTTTGGAGAAATACCTTTTAAGTTCTTCTGCCCATTTCTTGACAGGATTGTTTATTTTGTTTTTTGTTGAGTCCTGTGAGTTCTTTGTATATCTTTGTGATCAGTCCCTTATCAGTTGACTGGAGTGTTACCATTTTTTCCCTATCAGTGGGGTGTCTCTCTGTTTTGGTTAATGTCTTTTTCGCTATACAGAAGCTTTTCAGTTTGATGTAATCCCGGGTGTTTATCTTTTCCTTGACTATGTTTGCTTTGGGTGATGAGTCTTTAAAGATGTATGTCTTGTAAGTGTTTTACCTGTATTTTCTTCTATATATTTTATGGTTTCAGGTCTTATGTCCAGTTCTCTCATCCATTTTGAGTTGATTTTTGTGCATGGTGAGAGGTAGTGGTCTAGTTTCTTTCTTTTGCAGGTGATGGTCTGTTTTCCCAGCACCATTTATTGAACAAACTGTCTGTGTTCCATTGCATGTTCTTTGCTTCTTTGTCAAAGATCAGTTGTCCATATAAGTGTGGTTTTATTTCTGGGCTCTCTATTTGGTTCCATTGGTCTATGTGTCTGTTTTTGTTCTAATACCAAACTTTTAATTATTATGGCTTTGTAGCATAGCTTGAAGTTTTGAAGTGTGATACCTCCTTTGAAATCCGTTTTCATCAGTAAGGCTTTGGCTATTCGTGTTATTTTGTGGTTCCATATGAATTTCATCAGTATTTGTTCTATTTCTTTGAAGAATGTCATTGAGATTTTTATTGGAATAGCATTGAATCTGTATATTGCTTTTGGTAGGATGGACATTTTAATAATGTTAATTCCAATCCATGAGCAGGAGATGTCTTTCCATTTCTTTGTGTCTTCTGTTTCTTTTAACAGTGTTTTATAATTTTCTTTGTAAAGGTCTTTCACCTCTTTTGTTAGGTTTATTCCCAAGTGTTTGATTTTTTTTGTTTCAGTTATAAAAGGGATGGTTTTCTTGATTTCTTCTTCTTCAGATTGAGTGTGTCTAGGAAAGCTACTGATTTTTGCGTGTTGATTTTGTATCCTGCTACTTTACTGAACTGGTTGATTATTTCAAGTAGTTTTTCTGTGGAGTTTTTAGGGTTCTGTATGTATATTATCATATCGTCTGCAAATAGCAATAATTTTACTTCTTCTTTCCCTATTTGGATTTCTTGTATGTCTTTCTCTTGTCTTATTACCCTGAGTAGGACCGCCAATATTATATTGAAGAGCAGTGGTGAGAGAGGACATCATTGTCTTGTTCTGATCTTAAAGGGAAGGCCTTCAGCTTTTTGCCATTGAAAATACTATTGGCAGTGGGTTTGTCATATATGGCTTTTATCATGTTAAGATATGTTCCTTCTGTCCTGAGAATTTCAAGGGCCTTCATCATAAATGGATGTTGGACTTTGTCGAATGCTTTCTCAGCATCTATTGATATGATCATGTGGTTTTCTTTTTGTTTATGTGTTGGATTACATTGATCGATTTTCATATGTTGAACCATCCTTGTGCCCCTGGGATGAATCCCACTTGATCGTGGTGTATTATCCCTTTGATGCATTGTTGGATTCTGTTGGCAAGGATTTTGTTAAGGATTTTTTTCATTTCACCCTTTTTATTTTTTTTATATAGTTTACTTATTTATATATATATGTAACATCATTGTTCTTTTTTTAATATATTTTTTATTTTTTACATCATTGATATTTATTTTTTTAAAAGATTTTTATTTATTTATTTATTTATTTATACAAGCACTGGGTACAGTCAGAGGTGCAGGAGGATGAGAGAATTCACCAGAGCCAGAGCGGAGAGCAGAACAGAGAGAGTGACGAAGTACACTGCTGAGGGGAGCAGCGGGCAGCAGGAGAGGTCTGCGCGCCATGTAGGACCCTCCTCCGGTGGCCGGGGAGCAGCCGGGGATCGAACTGGCGCTGCAGAGGCCGCAGGCAGCTAGCTTTGCAACCCAACGCTCAACCGCTGCGCCACCAGGGAGGCCCCATCGTTATTTTTTGTTGATGATTTTTGCATCAGTGTTCATTAGGGAGACTGACCTGTAATTTTCTTTTTTTTGTGCTGTCTTTGTTTGGTTTTGGTATTAGTGTAATGTTGGCTTCGTAGAACATATTTGGTAGTATTCCTTCTTTTTCAATTTTTTGAAAGAATTTGTGTAGGATAGGCACTAGTACACTGCTGAATGTTTGGTAGAATACATTTGTGAAGCCATCTGGACCTGGGCTTTTGTTTTTGGGGAGAGCTTTGATTACTGCCTCAATTTCACTGCTTGTAATTGGTCTATTTAGTTGTGCTGTTTCTTCTTTGTCCAGCTTTGGATGATTATATTGTTCTAGGAATTTGTCCATCTCCTAGGTTGTTGAATTTTTTTCATGTGAGTGTTAACAGTAATCTATGATTATTCTTTTGATTTCTACTGAGTCTGTTGTGATTTGTTCTCTTTCATTTAGAATCCTATTTATATTTGTTTTCTCCCATTTTTCCTTTGTGAGCCTAGCTAGAGGTTTGTCTGTTTTATATTTTCTAACAACCAACTTTTGGTTTCACTGATCTTTTGGATTGTTTTTTTTTTTTTAATTTCCATTTTGTTTATTTCTGCTTTGATTTTTATTATTCCCTTTCTTCTACTGGCTTTAGTGTTTTGTTGTTTTTTTTTTTCCTAGTTCTTTGAGATGTGAGATTAGGTTGTTTGAGTTCTTTCTTGTTTCTTGATGTAAGCCTCTATTGCTATATATTTTCCTCTTATTACTGCATTTGCATCATCCCATACACTCTGGAAAGTGGTATCCTCCTTGTCGTTCAACTCAAAGTATTTTTTAATTTCTTCTTTGATCTCAGTCCAGTGGTGTTCCAGTAGTATGGATTTCAATCTCCATGAAGTGGGTGGGTTTCTTGTTTCCTTTTCATGATTTATTTCTAGTTTGATGCCTTTACGAATGGAGAATGTAGTTGGAATGATTTTGATGCTCATGTATCTGTTGATGTTTGTATTGTGGCCCAGTGTGTGATCAATTCTGGAGAATGATCCATGTGCGCTTGAGAAAAACGTGTACTTGGATTTTTTTAGGTTCAGTGTCCTATAGATGTCTGTTAAGTCCATGAGTTCTATGTATTTATTTAGGGCTCTAGTGTCTTTGATTATTTTTTGTCTTGTTGATCTGTCCATTGGTGAGAGTGGGGTGTTGAAGTCTCCCACTATATATGTATTTTTTTTTTTAATGTCTGTTTTCAGAGCTGATAATAATTGTCTAATATATTTTGGTGCTCCTTCATTTGGTGAGTATATGTTGATGATTGTTATTTGTTCCTGGTGTACTGTCCCCTTGATCATAATGTAGTATCCATCTTTGTCTCTTTTTACCTTTTTTAATTTAAGTCTATTTCATCTGCTTTAAGTATAGCTGTTCCTGCCTTCTTTTTTAGTCCATTTGCTTGTAGGATTCTTTTCCAACCTTTTACTTTCAGTCTGTGTTTATCTTTTGTGGCTAAATGTGTTTCCTGGAGACAGCAGAAGGTTGGATTTTGTTTTTTAATCCAGCCTGCTACTCTGTGTCTTTTTATTGATGAATTTAATACATTTACATTTAGAGTTAATATTGCTATATTGGCATCTGTATTTGCCATGTTGTTTGTCTTTGTGATTTTATTCCTTGCTTTATTCTGTTCTTCTTGTTCATTCCTTTGTTGGTTTTGGCTTTAGGACTTCTAGAATTTTTTGGAGTGGAGGTTTAGTTGTAATGAATTTCTGGAGTTTCTGTTTGTCTGAGAAGGTCCATATTTTTTCTTCATAGAGGAAGGAGAGCTTTGCAGGTTAAAGTATTCTTGGTTGGCATTTGCTGTGTTGAAGTTTGTTGAGTATGTTACTCCACTCTCTTCTTGCCCGAGGTATTTCTTCGGAGTAGTCTGAAGTTAACCTGATTTGTTTTCCCTTTTATCTGTTTCTTCCCCCTTGCCAGTTTCATTATTTTTTCCTTGTCTTGGACTCTAGCAAGCTTTACTATTATGTGTCTTGCTGTAGTTTTCTTTTCATTGTGGTAATTGGGTGTTCTTCATGCTTCTTGTATGTCTATATTTGTATCCTTTTTCAT